GTTAAGAAATCTGGCCTTGGAAGGGGCGCCTGGGTGGCTCAGTTGGTTAAGTGTCCCAACTTTGGCTCAGATCATTATCTCGTGGTTCGTGAGTTCAAGCCCTGCATCCGGCTCTGTGCTGACAGCTCAGAGCCTGCAACCTGCTTCGGATTCTGTCTCCCTCTTTGTCTGCCCCTCCCCCACTCAGCCTCTGTCTCTCCCTCTCAAAAATAAACAAACATAAAAAAAAAAAAAAAGAAAGAAACCTGGCCTTGGAGCACCTAGGTGGCTTAGTTGGTTGAGCGTCCAGCTTTTGATTTCGGCTCAGGTCATGAACTCATGATTCGTGAGATCAAGCCCCGAGTCAGTCTCTCCCCTGAGCATGGAGCCTGCTGAAGATTCTCCCTCTCTCTCCCTCTTTCTCCTTCTCTCTCTCTATCTCTCTTTCTCTCTCCCTCTATGTGCCTCTCCCCCTACTCTCACACACCCTCACTCTCTTTTTCAAAATAAATAAACTTAAAAAAAAAAAAAAAAAAAGAATCCTGGCCTTCTACTCCCTATATGATCATGGCATTCTTCCTTTTATGGCAGAATATTTTTATATGTATAAGGGAGAAATTATATATTTTTAACAATATTATAATCTGGTAAAGGTTAGTGATTGTTGAAAACTAGTATGTAGTAAATAATAATTGTTGAAAAGTTTTCTATTTATTGATTATAGTTATAAATTAAAAGAAGTACAGTAAAATTTTAAATTGTACATTTAAATAAACCACATTCCTCATTTGTGTGTGTGTATGTGTGTGTGTGTGTGTGTGTGTGTGTGTGAAATCATTTGATTGTCATTCATTATAATCAATGGATTATTACCAGCTATTCCAGAAAAAGGGCAGTTTAAGTATGTAAGAAGCTACTCTCTCTTTCAACACTGTATGTCACCACTGCTTCTGTTTATTCATATAAACAAATCGGTGATGATTATATGGATTTTGAAATAATGCTCATTACTTCATCCTGGAAAGGGGTTTTGAGTTTTGTTTTTCTTTTTAATGAGTTACAATAAATATCCCATTCATCACTTCATTGGTGTTAGCATTTGGATATTAAAGTCATAATTTTGTTTCTAAACTCATTTGGCCCACAGGTGGAAATGGTGTATTCATTGTTATCAATGCTTGGTACTCATGATAAGGATGATATGTCGCGAACTTTGCTAGCTATGTCTAGCTCCCAAGACAGCTGTATATCCATGCGACAGTCTGGATGTCTTCCTCTCCTCATCCAGCTTTTACATGGCAATGACAAAGACTCTGTGTTGTTGGGAAATTCCCGGGGCAGTAAAGAGGCTCGGGCCAGGGCCAGTGCAGCACTTCACAACATCATTCACTCACAGCCTGATGACAAGAGAGGCAGGCGTGAAATCCGAGTCCTTCATCTTTTGGAACAGATACGAGCTTACTGTGAAACCTGTTGGGAGTGGCAGGAAGCCCATGAACAAGGCATGGACCAGGACAAAAATCCAAGTATGTTCCCTGTAGTGCATGTTACAAAGCAAATGTAAAGTTTTGTAAATGAAAACTTTTTAAGTTAGTATGTTGTCTTTATGAGTGGAATATGAGTGGGATATAGGAATGGGAAGTTCATAGTAGCCATCTACACTGCTAACATAGTTTAAAGCTTAAGTCTGTATTTTTCTAGAAAAGATTGAGCAAAGGGCAACCAAAAAAGTACAGGGAATCAAGAGATACATAGTCATAGCATCGTATATTTAGAAAGAACTTGAGCAATTATGTTTTTCCATCCCTTTCCTTTCATAGATTAAGCTCAAGAAAGTGACTTTATACAAGTTTATTCAGCAGTTAGTGACCACACCATAATCTTTACATTTGCATAACATTCTGTTCAGTGGATGCAGAGATATGTTATATCTGTTATGGTATTTGGCCCTCACAACAACCTTGTGAAGTAGGAAGGGAAAGTATTATCTCCATTTTACAGATAAAGAAACTGAGGCTCGGAGTGGCTAAAAGACTTGCCTGAAGCCTCATAGCTACTAAGTGGTAGAGTCAGGAACAGAGGCCAGATCTTCTGACTCTCAACCCAGTGCTCTTCCCACTGTACCATCCTACTTCAGGCCATGGGCCCCACTTACTGGGAGTGATCAGCCACCCAGCTCTTTGCTGAGGGAGAAACCCTGGGCAACCAACCCCTCTCCATCAGCAGGGAACATGGGAGTTGGGACCCTTGGGGACATAAGTTACTTCATTCCTGTAGCAAGAACCAAAAGCAGTAAGTATATAAGGTAAGATCTTCTTTTCACCTGGTAAGAAAACACACACACACACACACACACACACACACAGAGGCACACAGGGTGGGGACTGTTGTAGTAACCTATTGATTTAGGGATAAGGGGTGATGGTGAGAACACCATCAATGAAGATTTAGCAGGTATTTTTTAGCTTACGTATAAAGGTGAATGTATTTTAAATTTACAAATTTTCAAGAATGAGAAAATAGCAGAAATGGTCTTTTATATCTGTTTGTCCTAGGGATGAGGAAAACTAGTAAGATACTTTACTGAGAGAATATCGTCTTTATGGAATTGTTTTCTCTGGGCATCTACAATCATGTAACAACTTGTATTTTGTGATCTTAAGAATTGTTCTCAAAATGGTTAAATTAAATATTATTACTTCTGAAAAATAGACTTTTAAAATTTTGATTTCACATAATGAGTTTTGAAACTTTGTACATGGTATTAAATGTGAAGTCATATTTTCTTGGACGTCTCTTTAGATTTTTGTTTACTCTATATAGTAAGCTTTCTCTACTAGGTTCATACTGTATTTCTTCTTTTTTTTTTTTTTTTTTTTTTTTTTTTTTTTAAGTTTTTACTTACTTATTTTGAAAGAGAAAGGAAGGAGGGAAAGAGAGAGAGAGAGAGAGAGAAAGAATCCCAAGCAGGCTCCACACTGTCAGTGCAGAGCCTGATGGAGGGCTCAAACTCAAGAACTGTGGGTTCATGACCTGGGCCAAAACCAAGAGGCAGCCACTTAACCAACTGAGCCACCCAGGCGCCCTATACTGGATTTCTTTATTACATTTGTACACAGCTAAGTGTTTTTAACCCACACTCATGACAATAGTTTAAATAGAAATTATAACAAAACAACTTTATACCAAAGTGTTTTTATTCTTTTCTATATTCAACATAATTTTAAATTATTATTTGAGTTATAGCATAAACCTGCAAGGGATTTATACTAACAGATTTGGTTAAAGGCAGGTAAGTGGTAAATATTTTTCTGGAACCAAGAAAAACCCTTTACTCATATTTTCTTTTCCATGTTTGTCGTATTTATTCATCTATTCAGCAAATATTTGTTGATCTACTAAACTACTATGCATTAGGGATATTAGCCTTGTTTTTTTTTTATTAAGTATAATAAACATTATTGCTTTTGAGAAAACAAAGCATTATGTTTTGTATCAATTTTATTTTTCAGTGCCAGCTCCTGTTGAACATCAGATCTGTCCTGCTGTGTGTGTTCTAATGAAACTTTCATTTGATGAAGAACATAGACATGCAATGAATGAACTTGGTAAGACAAAAATGTTTCTTAATGCCGTAGAAGAAACCAACATTTTTCATCATCGTTGGAGTATAATGCCACACGTTTCTATTACCACCTGCTTCCTCCTTGTAGGAAATGATTATACTCTGGTTTCCGGAGGAAAAAAAAAAGGTTTTTAATGATAGGCACTGCTACCTTGTTTAAACTAACTTGACTTTTCAAAATCTTAGCCAGCAGTTAGCAGAACTACTAACTGGGCTACTCCTTGCCCCTGTTGCCCTTAGTAGACCCTATGTGATAGTTGATGAGGAGGGTAATTTAAATTATTTTGAAATGTGGAGCTAGGTGATTGTTCTTGAACTCAGTCACTTCTCATGGACACCAGAAGAAATTATTATTAAAATTCTCATTTATCTTCGTGGTTACCAACACTTTGCTGGATTCTCATGATAAGCAGCATAATATCTCTGAAACTGGTTAATGAAGAAAAGCATTATGGTCTAATTTAAGTTAGAAATATTCCACTAGTTTTGGAAGGATTACTCTTTTGTGTATGTGTTATCACACACTCTAAACCTTTTATAACCTGCATTTTTGTGCACCCCATTTTTCATGTAACGGTTTTTCTTTGATTTCTAGGTTCATTTTGCACATGTGGTATTTATAATTGCATCATGCTGAGCCATCTCATGTGAACTGGATCTCTAGTCGTGCCACAAGCAAGAACCGTACACTGAGTTCCCATCTTAGTGTAGCTGTGCCCTTGCTTTTCATGCTGTTTATTTTACATTACACTCCAGCCCCCACTTTGCATTCCTACCACCCTCATCATTGTCATTCATCATTTATCTTATAAGTCACAAAGTCATGAGACTCTTAAACACAGAGAACCTAAATGGCCAAAAATGAGTGTTGTCTCCTTCAGAGTCATCACTTTGGGGGGCTGTGTACTTTGTGAGCTCAGGCCTGTCCTCCAGCCATGCTTTTCTTCCCACAGGCCCTTGCAGTTGGCCCATCTGATTCTCTTTCCTTCCCCCACCCCCAGCCTCCCACGGAACTGAGTGTGGTCTTAAGAGTTTGCCCCTCCTTACTACAATCTCAGCATTTGTGAAAATTTTACATTTGAGTGTTTTTTTAATGCTAGTAATTATGGGAAGGGGATAAAAATCATGAATAAACAAGAAAACTAATCCAATTTTAAACTACTACAAAGGTTTTCCTGTAAATGTCCCTGTGTTCCAATGAACTGTAGATTAGGACTGACACATTGATCATCTGAATTTCAAAGTAAAACCTAGACTCAGTATTTGTTCCTCTTCCTTCTTCAGGTAGGAAGGCTACCCGGGGCATTTCATCACAGGAGCTAGGGCAGGGGCTTGCAGGTGAGGAGCAGGATGGGGCCTCTGGGGGTGTGACTGTTGGCACAGAGCCACAGGGGGTTACCTTCTTCTCATTCCTAGCCTCTAAATTTGTACGAAGCAAAAGAAAGATCAAGGTTTGTGGATTGTGCGGAGATGGAGTAATTAAGCACAAGGTAATCTGATAGTGAGGGATAAGGAGGAAAGAAGTCCCAAATAGATGAAGGGACATTCCAAAGCCCAGTCTGCTGGGACTGTCATTTGTACATAGAAGATTCTACAACTTACCCAGGTCATTTAGGTTTGCGTCAATTAGTATCACAGGTTTTAGACTATAGTATCAGTGATATATACATCGATTAAATGCCCACCCTGTCCTAGAAACCATGCCAGGCCCTGGAGGTAAAAATGATGAAGATATGGTTCTGACTTTCAAGGAACTCATGGCTTATTTGTATTAGTATTTCCAAAACTAGATCATAATAATCACCAGAGGTATTTGTCAAACCATATAGATTCCCTGGCCCTGTAGCAGGCTTAGTAAAGCAGTATCTCCAGAGGGGGTACCCAGGAATCATGTAATAAGTGACCCAGGTGATTCTCATGATAAGGAAATTTTGTGAAACACCAATATATAGAATATTTATGTTGAGTCCCTAATGTTTATTTTAGAATGAGACGTTTCATGCTAGTGGTGATATCTAAACCCAAGGAAAAGGAAAAAATACACCTTTTAAAACTAAGAATCATCTTTCTATTATCTTTTTTTAATATAAGTCTAAATTAAGGATTCTGTTGAATGGTTTCTTTTGAAACCATTGGTCCTCTATTAGCTTTAAGGTTATGAGGTACCACATTGGATTATATTTGGTCCATCTGGACCCCTTTTTTAAAACACAGACACTGAGCAGAATGTGAAAAAAATTATGCTTATCATCTTTGCATTACCTTGAAAAAGCCTAAGTTTTCTTAGGGCATCTATTTTTTATTCTATCAGTCGTGAATTCACATCATATTTTTGTGAATCCATTTATAGTTTTCACATATATATTCATTGCCTTAAAATTTACAGAAATTTTTTTTCATTTGCCTGAAATCATAAAAGATTCTCTCTTTTATCTGATATCCTAAAATTTATTGAATGTTCCTTTTTCTTCATGGTGTTGCTGATATTGACAATATCCTTCTTTAATCATTGTTTTCAGAATCCAGTCCTGAGTTTTTTAATTTTTCCGTTCAAAAAAACTCTTTGTTCATTTAGTGCCTTCTTGAGACCTTCTTTATTAGATCATTTCACTTTCTTAAGAAAGTGTCACAGATACTGATATGGCAGGCAGGATTTCATATAGTCACAAAGCATAGTATGTTTTGTTTTGGTATTGATAGCCTGCTCTGTAATGCTCAACATCTTGGTGATCTTATCAGTATATAGGGCCACAGTCTTCAATTCATCAGTCACTCCCATTTCCATTTCCTGAGTCAGAACTCTCACTTCTTCTACTGGCTCCTTCTAGTAGTAAGCTCCTTAATACTTTACTCAAGTATTAAATGGTAGAAATTCCTCAGAGTTCTGTTGTAGGTTTTCTTCGTCTCTCCCTAGGCAGTATCTTCCAGTCCATGGCTTCATTTACAGTGTTTTTCAGATTTACATCTTAATCTGAGTTTGAGACACATTATCAAATCATTCATCTGACATCTTCATTTAGATGGTTTTTCAGACATTTTTAACTCAACTGCCCCAACTGAATTTGTTATCTTCTTCATCCCCAAATCTCTGTCTCTTCCAGGGTTCTTTTTCCCAGAAAATGGCATGCCAGCCAACCCAGTTGCTCAGGAGACAATCTCGGGAGACATCCATGACTGTCTCCTCCTTATCCCCTACATTTAGTAACTGAGTACTTTCATTCTGCTTCTTAAATCTGTCTCATCACTGCTCTCCTTTTCATCTCCAGTTCAAGCCACTGTCGTCTCTTCTGTTCTGCAGTTCTTTGTCTTATTTGTCTCCACACGTCCAATTGTAATCCATTATGCACCTTGCAACCATAGGAGTCTGTTTAGAGCACACATTTAATTACTCCTCCTGTCTGAAATCCTTGGTGTGACATACAAAGTCTTGCATGATGTCTCCACCCATTTTTATAGCCTCATCTTGTGACCTTCTCCTTGTTGCTAATTTAAGGTTCAGGGGCTCTTGCACTTACTGTTTCATCTGCCTAAAATGCTTTTGTATTATTCCTGTCCCAGCCTTTTTAGATACTCATTCATCCTTTAAGTCTTAAACTTTATTTCCTCAGCCTTTTTCTCGATCCTCCCAGTCTAGGTTAAATCCACCTATTACCTTGACCTGTGCTTCTTCACAGTCCATTTTACCTTAATTGTTCAGTGTCTGCCTTTCCTCTAATCTATAAGCTCCATAAAGATAGTGACGGTATTTTGTTCACTGGCTATGTATTTTTCCATCATCATGGGTGGTTGGAGGAAAACCTTCCTAAATATGGTTTGGATTTTCCTTAACCAAATTACTTTTCACTTATCTGTGTTCAAACTCATCTGTTATTACTGCTAGTCATAAAGATTTGCACCAGCCTTCCTACAGTTAATTCCCCTGGCTTGGAATTCTTGACTCCAGTTAGAACTTCTACAAACTTGCAGATTCCTCTACATACTGACCCTTCTAAATCATTTACAAAAATACTAAATGTACAGGTTCTCTTTCAGATTAATAACCTGACTGTTAAGACTTAGAATTTCCAAGAATTGCCTGTTTATATTCATCCTCCTTTTTTTAAGCCACTTCTCTGTGACAAAACAACATCCCTAGTCCCATGATGATTAACATTGATGATGAATAATATTTTGAATAGCCTCCATATGCATTTTTATTTTTATTCACCTGCTCACCATTTTGCTTTACCTTTTTTATTTTGTTCTGTTTTGTTACTACCCCTTCCTTTATGTCTTTCCCTTTCCTTTTCCTTCATTTTACTCCTTGCCTTCCTAGTGTTGACCATTGTGGGTCGAGCATACCCAGTGGTGGGAATCACAGAGAAAAAAATACTCAATTCTAGTGTAGTTGGTATTTGACACTTGAAAGTATCAAAGAAAAGTAAGAAAATTTTTTAAATATATATGTAGTTTTATAGAACTTATTAATAAGTTGAACAGATAATTCTTTTTCATAAAAAAAAAAAAAAGCTTTGCTTCATGCCGTTTTATTTAGAAATCTCAGGATTCCTAAGGATAATTCTTTGGCAAACCAAAAACATTAATTAGGCCATAGTGTATAACATTGAAGAATGTTTGTAAAGTTCTAATAATAAAAATAAGTTACCTTTTTCTGCCTTCATGCGGGAAGATCTAGTGTTAGAAAGTAGCCTTCTTCATCAATGAGAAGATACAGCGTGTGTGTAGTAAATAGAGTATAATTGCTCGCTTCACTAATGAAAGGGTTTGAAGGGTGGAGAAAACTGGCAGAAAAAGGAGTAATTATCATTTGTACTTTATGAGTGTATTTCACAAAAGTTCTTTATAACAGTTTTTGTAGCTTGTAGTTCTAAAGACATACTTAAACCATATATTCTCATTCTTTGAGATTTTTTCCTAGTAATTAGTTTTTAAATTTGGTATTACTTGTTTTATTTTAGATTACTATCTTTTTCCTCTTGCCCTTTTGAAATTAGGGGGACTACAGGCCATTGCAGAATTATTGCAGGTGGATTGTGAAATGTATGGGCTAACTAATGACCACTACAGTATTACATTAAGACGATATGCTGGAATGGCTTTGACAAACTTGACTTTTGGAGATGTAGCCAACAAGGTATGTTTTAGAAGATCCGTTTCTTAAGATCTCTCTGGTATGAGTTAGTTTCATACAAACTACCTTTCACTAATTTTCGTTTTTTCCTTTCCTCATTAGACATTCACTAATAAAAAACCTGAACTTCACACACCACTGCATATTCTTACTCATCACGTTGTCTTACACCTAAACAAAGGCAAAACATGGAACACAGTAGTGGATTTATGTAATTGCATTTAAAATACTGTTCCTAGGAATGAGAGCAAAATTCTGAAAATCCTGATGACATATGCAAGTGTACACATATATTGGTTCCGTCCAAATAAGAGACTTTACTTTAAAACCCTTTGCTTATTATTTCTTATCATTTATTCATTTTATTTCTCCAGTATACTAAGAGAAGAACTGATAGCAAAAGACTTATGTAATCTGGTTTTACATCTTTTATGGGTAAAATATTAGGATGATTAAAATGAGACCGTTAAAACTGGATTTGAAGTTTATTAGACAAAAATAAAGCAGAGCTTCATTTTGCCTTGTTACTGACCCTCTGTTCCATTTCTAATTTTACAGGCTACACTCTGCTCTATGAAAGGCTGCATGAGAGCACTTGTGGCCCAACTAAAATCTGAAAGTGAAGACTTACAGCAGGTACTAGTTAGAATCACAAATGTTTTTTGGGGGTATTTGTGGGTTAATATCATGATTTAGATTAATTTAAGCTTTGGCTCAATATTTAGTGTCTCATGTTTCAATTATGGTTACATTAATACCAGAATAAAGGAAAATAACTATATTGTAGGAATTCCTTTTGGCACCATATTAGCATTTAGGAGGAATTTCTTTATTAGTAGATTTCTACTCTTAACAGTAGCATTAAGGGGCGCCTAGGTGGCTCAAGTGGTTAAGCACCCGACTTTGGCTCAGGTCATGATCTTGTAGTTTGTGGGTTCAAGCCCCGCATTGGACCCTGTGCTGACAGCTCAGAGCCTGGAGCCT